GCGCTTTACTTCTACCTTTTGCGGTCACTAACATAAATCAACATAAATTTTGCATAAAGGGAATGATGCTCTATAATGGCTGCTCTATAAAAGTAACCTAGCTGTTCAGTGAAAAATTTTTCCGCCAAAACTTTTAAGTGCCTGCACATAAAAACCACGCATATCTGAAGGCTAATTTGAAATACTTAAGCTGCATTTGGACAGGGATTACCCCGAAATTTCAGTCTTCCAGCTTTTCTGGTCACCGAGTTAGTGGAATGCTGAACTTGAAATTTTTAAATTGCATGTGGACAGGGAACATCACGTTAAAATTTCAGCTTTCTAGCTTTCCTGATCCCCGAGTAAGTGATTTTCCGAAGAAACTTTCATACGCTCTTACATGAGTACCACGCATAGCTTGGGGTTGAGTCTGAAATATTTGAGTTGTACTTGAACAGGGAACATTATGCTAAAGTTTCAGTTTTCTAGCTTTCCTGCTGCCAGAATTAGCTGTTTTCCTACTAAAAATTTCACGCGCCTTTACGTGAGTACTACGCATACCTGGGGGCAGAATTTGAAAACTTTAGCTATCACATGTACAGGGGATTTCTCTGCCCACGTGGTTTCCGAAATCACTTTCCAGCCAAAAAATTTGCATATTTTTTTAAAGCGCCCGTACGCGGCAATCAGACATTAGCGGGGGATGAAATTAAAAAGGGAGTGTCGCACACTGCATGCCACATACTCCCAAAGTTTTAGCCTTTTTATCTTTTTTGTTTCTCGAATTGAAAGTGGCTGACAAAAAGTGCGAACGCACAGACACACACAAACATACAGCCTCTTTCCAATATGCGTTTTCGCAATTTGCAAATATGCAAAAATGCATAAAAGCATATAGTTATGCCCCTCAGTAAACCAATTTCACTTGCGTTTAGAAAAGCTTGCAAATCTATGAAAATGTCATATTTCTTGTTAGTGTTGTTATGTATCTGCTAACAAACCGAATTCTTATTAGTGCAGCAAGATGAAGTAGTGAACGATGCACCGGTGCCACCAGGATTACTCTCAGTATATCGAGTATACTCGAGCGCCTCAACTCAGGCACCATTTGTCAGTCCAACAGCACCAGCAAATGATGGTGCTTGGTATGGCGCTGGTAATATGCAGCTGTCTTCGATGATTATCAATATCCGAGGCATGAACTCGCCAACTCTGCATCAAGGTTTGTTGCCTAGTGGCTTACATGCGTCCCTCGGATTTTTCAAGTTGTTTTTTTTTGAAATGCTTTTGGAAACGGAGTTTTTTAAGCGCTTTTCGCTGCAGCAATTGCACAGAACGCATATTGTCAAGACCTTGTTTGTGTGTGTCTGTGTGCTCCAAGTAAATTTTATTTGTAAAATGAGCGAACAGGCCAGCCCTGTATTGGCAGCACATCACGTGATGTAATCCGGAGATAGTGAAGATAAGAAATTCGATTCCCTCTCGATCCGCTCATGGTATCAAATTATTCAGATTTTATAACTAGTAAATCACATGCAGCTTTTTATAATTGTAAATTTCCATATATTTCAATATAACAGCATTATCTGCTGTCTTATCACTTTACGCGCAGCATACTGTGGGACCTAGGCAGCACTGGGAGCATTTAATCCGCAGATGTTGCTAAAACGTCTTTCGAATTAGGCGTGTACTAGTTATTCAAAACATTCGAAAGTTTACTCGCCCAGTATTTTTGG